TTAGATGCAGTTATTAAATTGAAATGTTCAGAAATACTATAAGGAAACAAATTGATAGATTTAGAAATATAAACTACTAAGCTTGGAAACCCAGGTTTGCCCGGAAATCTAAACAATCTCAACTTTGAACTTTGAAAACAAACTGAGAACTCCTTCCTTTAATGAGTGCCTCACCCAAAATTTGAATCCAAAATATGGTCTATTGGGGTTTATGAGTTATGATCAGACATACAAAAAAAAGACAGACAAACAGAGATTATATTAATTTATATATATAGATAAATACATACTCAGACTAAAGAAGGGGGGAAATAATTTGTAAAAATTTTGTATAAAATCCCCAACCCCTTTATTGTAAAAGGAAATGGACCTTTATTTATTAAGTATGTATTAATGTACAAAGTTACTTAAAAAGATGAGATTTCAATTTATACTGTCTGTTTCCTTACATATATGATTCCCTACAATTGTAAACTTGTTGTTTTCTTTGCCAAATCATTGAATAAACCTTTTAAAGACAATATTCAGGACACAAATTATTCTCAAATTGTCATTTTTAGGAGTTTCAAGTCTCATCCTTTGTGGGTAACCCTGTACGTAGAGGGGAAGGGTGACATGGTAACAGATATATTGATGAATTATTATTTAAAATATTTGTCCTTAAATATGCAGATGTATTGCAGTGTAACACACGCGTTTACATTCCATCTTTCTGGATTTTATTTACATTTTTTCATTTTTCTATGGTGGAATAGAAAGACGACATTACAGAAATGTTAAAAGTTATTAATATTGTAATCAAGTAAAGTAACCCCCCCCCCCCTTTAAATTATTCATCTTGTATCTAAATGTCCATATGTATATATTGGTGCTAAGTGTATTCAACATAGAGCAATGTAGTTCAACCCCTTTAAATTTAAAAAGTTTCACTGCTGCATGATATTTAAAATTTAACTCCTACGTTCCTCAGCTAGGTTTTAGGTTTAGTAAATGTAATTCCTAGTGGCTCTTATATTTATGAGGAGTACAGAGTCCGAATTCAATGAATTTGAGCCGCGGCTCAAATAAATTTAAACGGACTTATACTAATTTAAAACACTGTTCAATTGATTCTTTTAAATTATTGATCAGAAAAAGACTTTAAGAGTGCCGTTGTGAATCTAGCGTGTCCCTCGTTAAATGGAGGGTCACTTGAAATTACTCTTGCAGTCCCTTAAACCAACATTTAAACAATAATAAATAACACATTTAAACAATAATAGATAACACATTTTTTAACCGGTAAAGTTTTCATTAAACTTAGTTCTAATTAAATAATGATCCATCTAAGATATCTAAATAAAATAATTTAATTAATAACGAATATGAGTGCACTAACTCAGGCAGTTTATGGCTTGAATCTTCAGACAGTCTGAAAGCATATGGCTTGACAATTAATTATCTATAAGTAACAAAAAGTGGTAAAATATTAATACTTAAGAGCTGATTAAGTACATGAAAATTCATATGACACAGACGGTTTCAGGGCGGGTGGCAGTCCGTTACCCCCTCCCTCCCCACTGAGTGAAATTAGGGGGGATTTTTACAAAGTCATTAGTCCGAAGGCTTTTGACATAGAACATGTCATCTATGACCACCGACAGGTTGGTAAAGTGGGAAAGAATGGCGATGCACCCAAAGATTCCTTTATTTTAAGCGGCCCCAGAAAAATAAATTATCGTAGATTGGAAGAAGGGAGGATATTTTTTTTCAACAAAAATTCCTTTTTTCGGTCCCCATTGCAGAGGTTCAGAGGGCCTAACCTAACCTTTGGGAAGTTGCCGTTTGGGAAATTGCACATTTGGGAAGTTGCCACTTGGGAAATTGTCACTTGGGAAGTTGCCCTTAGGAAAATGCCTTTGAGAAATTACCTAGCACCAAAATTAATATGGGGGGGGGGTAAAAAAAATTCGCGCTTCACGCAAATAAATTATTTTACCTCCCCCCCCCCCCATTATCTTAAATCCTGAAGCCACCCTTGCATCTGAATATCATTAAACATTATCTACATTATTTTGTAGACCCCCTTTTCCTTCTTTATATTTTCCCCTAATTTACCTTCCTCTCCCCAAAATGTAATTATCCCCCCTCCCCTATCCTAGACCACGCCCCAATTTGACATAATCATGAAGAAAATCTACTAACTTGAAATCATACAAGTCAGTATATGATAAATGAATACATGGATAGGTTTTGGCGGGAAAAAGATGGATCACTTTAAAGAAAATCACGAGGCGAAGAATCAGAAAATGTCGTCTTTGGTTTGTACTAAGAAGTTTGTATCCTCAATTTCTGGTTTTGTTATCATTCAAGAGTGAATTTCACTATTTTGTCAGCTATTCGACTTATAGAAAAATTCTCTTAAAGAATAATATATTTTGAGTGGAGGGAAGAAATATGATATTTTTGACATATTATTAATTATGTTTGCAATATAGAACATGTGATGAAGTTAGCACACATCATAATATAACATTCACATCATTAGTTAGTAGATTTCATTAAAGCTTGGGAATTAAACAGACAACTTTGATACAAATTGAGAACCTTGGAGAACCATAGATAAATAGATAAACATAGATAGCTTATGTATGTAAAATCATCAAGAATTGTACAGTCCGCGAACTCATACTTCCAGGGGTTAAAGTGTACTTCAATGATAAGCAGGGTGGTTTGGTGTTTTAATGAATTTCATAGAATAGAGTGTAAAATAACTCCGGGAATGGAGCTATTTGAACAACAATATTTCACTGAGCAATATATCATATTGACGAGAACTGAAGAAGGACATGAGAAGGACTAAACTAACTTAAATTTCTCTCTACAGAACTCATGTACACCACAAGTACTCAATGACATAAGAACAGCCAATGTTCACAACCGATCTAGTTAATCTATATAATAGGAATATATTTAAAACATCTCTGTACATTTATATCTTTCAAGGTGAAAAATGTCGTCTTATGCGCAATCTATCTTTATCTATGTGGAGAACTAAAGAACTAGAGGACTAGAGAACTAGAAAACCTTGGAGAACTAAAGAACAAGAAAACTAGAGAACTAGAGAACTAGAAAACTAGAGAACTAGAAAACTAGAGAACTAGAGAACTAGACAACTAGACAACCAGAGAACTAGAGAACTAGAGAACTAGAGAACCAGAGAACTAGAGAACTACAGAACTAGAGAACCAGAGAACAAGAGAACTAGAGAACTAAAGAACTAGAGAACTAGAGAACTAGAGAACTAGAGAATTAGAGAACTAGAGAAATAGAGAACTAAAAAACTAGAGAACTAGATAACTAGATAACAAGAGAATTAGAGAACTAGAGAACTAGAGAACTAGAGAACTAGAGAACTAGAGAACTAGAGAACTAGAGAACTAGAGAACTAGAGAACTAGAGAACTAGAGAACTAGAGAATTATAGAACTAGAGAACTAGAGAATTATAGAACTAGAGAACTAGAAACTGGAAACTAGAGAACTTATTGAGAACATGAGAACTAAAAAACTAGATATATAGAGAACTAGAGAACTAGAGAACTAGAGAATTATAGAACTTGAGAACTATAGAGAATTAGAGAACTAGAGAACTTAAAAGTTTACTTAAAAGCATTTCCTTTTTTTAATAATTATGAATGCTAAAAGAGGGGGAAAAGGGGACGGTTGGGGGGTTTGGATTGCTAAAAGGGGATTCAAGGGAGACGGGGAGAATACTATTATAGGCAAAAACTTGTCTCTGAATTTTTGTTTTGTTTCGTGAGAAATTTATCTCCAATAGATATCAATTCATAAAGTTTACATGCTTCAAAGTACATTAACAAAAATATAAGTCAACAAAATTTTTGGTTTCTTTAAAAACATAAAAGTTTGATTTAAAAATTGTCTAAGCTGGGAGTTGGAACCCTTTGAAGAAATGATTGAAATTTTTTCGTTTAACTAATTTCGTTCATTTAAAATTCTGATTATCTGTTTCTGGATTAAATCTTTTAAATATGATTGAAAATCATAATGATGAAAAATGTTGAGCTATTGAAAAATAAATTTTTTTTAAATATTTGCAACTGTACAATCAGCAATAGTTTAACATATTTCAGCTTGCGACAGAGATTGTTTTTCTCAAAGAATATTTTTTTAAAACAAAAATCTTGAGATATCAATTTGCAGTGTACTTTGTTATATTTTAATTTGCAAACTGGACTTTTGCCAAAACTTTGCAAAACTTTATTGCGCATTTTTAACTTGAAATACCTCGTTTAAAAAATCGGGGTTGGTAAATAGTTTGCGTAATGTATGTTTAAGTTTGAAAAAAGTAGAAATTTTCGAATGTACGAATCTGATAAATTAATTCATTCAGTTGTAAAGTATTTAAAATCAAATTCTTATTACGAATTGTAAAAAACATATTTTCAGCTAATTTTTTGCGATTTAAATTATATAAACATTTATAGGTTAATTCTTTAAAATATGAAATTTAAACAAATCAACAAAATTCTTATTTCAAACTTGAAACTTCTCTTGAAAATCAAAAGATTTTTGTCTTTTCTTCGATTTTAAATCGATTGAAAATGTCGCAGTTTGCACGTTATTTGATGCAAACTTAAACCTGAATTGGCACAAAAAAACGTGCAATATTTTGCGCGAATTACAAATGATTCTTGGAAATATATTTCTTCAAATATGATAATAATGAATCAAATAATATGTTGATTATTCGATTATTCTAAATTGTGAATTTTTTGCAATTGAAACTTTTAAATCAAAATTTTGTTTGCAAAAACAATAATATGCCATCAATAGGCGTTTAATTTGATGACTAATGAAACCCATTTACATTTGGACTTTATATTAAAAATTGTATAGTTAAAGAATTTTATTTCTGACGTTTTGAGAATCCAATGCTAATCGGAGATAAAAGTAAATTTTTCAAAAAGAAAAAAAAATGACTGAAACCCTGCCTTACCTCCTGTATATTCTCTGTGAGATCAACCAGACTTAGATTATAAATAATATTTCTAGCTCCGACCAGCACAGATCCTGTGTCTTCTCGGAGTAATTTAAAATAATCTCTATGTGTTGTGTTTCCTCTAAAAAGTGGAACTGACGAGTTTAAAACAGTGCTTTCACGAAATTTTTCTCCTTGGTCAAGAAAATCATAACTTGTCACAGCACCCAGTAAACTCAGGGCTAGGGTGTATTTAGCCAACATTTTCTGTGGCATGTTAGTTTTATTCACAAATTTAGGGATTTTCAAATTCACATATATCACATGGTGTGCGCGGTGCAATGTGCTTCTCCGTGCACGGTTAGAATACTACTGAGGAGTTGTAACTTGTAGTAGACGCACAGGAGTCAGGGAGCTCACTCGAGAGCTCACAGACGGACAGTTTACATGCGCGCTCAATAGAACTTTTTATATGTTTAGTGGATACTAGGATACAAGGATACTAAGATACTAGGATACTAAGATACTAGGATACTAAGATACTAGGATACTAAGATACTAGTATACTAGGATACTAAGATACTAGTATACTAGGATACTAAGATACTAGTATACTAGGATACTAAGATAAGGATACTAAGATACTGGGATACTAGGATACTAGGATACTAGGATACTAGGGTACTGAGATTCTAGGATACTAAGATAAGGATACTAGGATACTGGGATACTAGGATACTAGGATACTAGGATACTAGGATACTAGGATACTAGGATACTAGGATACTAGGATACTAGGATACTAGGATACTAGGATACTAGGATACTGGATACTAGGATACTAGGACACTAGGATACTAGGATTCTATGATACTAGGATACTAGGATACTAGGATACTAGGATACAAGGATACTAGGATACTAGGATACTTGGATACTATTGGATACTATTATACTATTAGTCTAGGATACTAGGATGCTAGGATACTAGGATACAAAGATACTAGGATACTAGGATACTTGGATACTATTATATTAGGATACTAGGATACTATAAGTATCCAAGAATTTACATTTTCGTTATAAGTGTAGATATAAAAATCTGACCACACCTATACCCTTTTCAGGTTCTTACCTCCCCCCCCTTACAAATAGGGGCATCCCCCCCCCTAAACTGAGGATCATTTATTATTAAAACAAATAGTGTAAGCGCCTGCTTCCAACGGCGTGTGTAAGCCCTGAATTTTAACAGTTTTTACTTCACCATGTAAGCCAATACAACATACGTCATCCTCCTAAGGTCTTGTTACTTGCTTAGCAGGTTTCTGATATGATCAAAGTTAGGAAAAAGTGTGTAGTGTGTAAAGTACAGGGTGCTTCAAAACACACCCGTCGGCCTGACACGATCACACGCCTCAAACTCTTTATTTTTAATTATTGCTCTTTATTTAACTTAATTTTGTAAACCTTTGATTGTAAGCTGTTTGATCAAAAAGTCAAAGTTTGAAACATCAAAGGTTTATATTGTTAGGTTACAAACAGGGATTAATATTACAGTTTTATACAGTGATATCCAATAAACAATGGAATAGAAAGACGATATTAAAGCAATACCTAAGTGTATTTGGTGTTGATCAAAGAAAATAGTTTTACCAGAAACTTTTTAAATCACAATTGCTTCATGATCATTGGACTTTTTAAAGTAATAAATTGATGCTAAATTCGTCCTCCTGTTTTGGGGTTTTTTATCATGTACTTCCTAGTTTAGGGCTCATCGAATAACTTTCTGAGAAGTTTGCAATCCTACATGAGCCGGAAATTTATAAATTTTGTTTAACTTTGACCAGGTTCTAGTACTGGTTCAAGTTCAAAACCAGCTTACAGAAGAAGTAGTTACACAAATTGAAGAAATACGACTTCAGTTTGCAAAATTATAAAAATAAGAAAATTAGAGTTAGTGGCGAGTAATCAGTTCATTTAAAAGTTTCACCAAAGTTAAATTTTTTGAAGGACGCAAGTTTTTGAGTCTCTGTACTGATATGGCAAGGCAGATTCTTAACACCCATTTGGTATTTATTAATTCATTTTCAGCCAATTTCTTTATTCATTCATTTTTAGCCAGTATTTATTGATTCATTCATTTTCAGCCAGTATTTCTTAGATCATTCATTTTCAACCATTATTTCTTTATCCATTCATTTTTAGCCGGTATTTCTTTATTCATTCATTTTAGCCAGTATTTCTGTATTCATTCATTTTTAGCCAGTATTTATTGATTCTTTCATTTTCAGCCAGTGTTTCTTTATTCATTCATCCTTAGCCAGTATTTATTGATTCATTCATCCTCAGCCAATATTTCTTTATTCATTCATTTTTAGCCAGTATTTCTTTGTTCATTCATTTTCAGCAATTATTTCTTTATTCATTCATTTCAACCAGTATTTCTTTATTCATTCCTTTTTAGCCAGTATTTATTGATTCATTTATTTTCAGCCAGTATTTCTTAGATCATTCATTTTCAACCATTATTTCTTTATTCATGCATTTTTAGCCAGTATTTCTTTATTCATTCATTTTTAGTCAGTATTTCTGTATTCATTCATTTTTAGCCAGTATTCATTTATTCATTCATTTTCAGCCAATATTTCTTTATTCATTTATTTTTAGCCAGTATTTCTTTGTTCTTTTATTTTCAGCAATTATTTCTTTATTCATTTATTTCAACCAGTATTTCTTTATTCATTCATTTTTAGCCAGTATTTCTTTGTTCATTCATTTTCAGCCATTATTTCTTTATTCATTCATTTCAACCAGTATTTCTTTATTCATTCATTTTCATCCAATATTTCTAAGATCATTCATTTTCAACAGTATTTCTTTGATCGTTTATTTTCAGCCAGTATTTCTTTATTCATTCATTTTCAACCAGTATATCTTTATTCATTCATGTTTAGCCAGTATTGCTTTATTCATTCATTTTCAGCCAGTATTTCTTTATTCATTCATTTTCAGTCAGTATTTCTATATTCCTTAATTTTCATCAAGTATTTCTATGATCATTCATTTTCAGCCAGTATTTCTTTATCCGTTCATTTATTCTTGCATTTTTAATCCTGTCATCTTACTTCTCAACTCATTTATTCTAAGGCTTAACCAGGGGAGCTGGAACTTAGCTACCTGGCTATGTGTACTAGACTAAGTATGCGATTAAGACAGCTTACTTATATAGGATATTATTAAGAGATTATGGCCTATTCATACAGTACAAACATCTAATATGCAGTACGCTTTCGGAGTACAAGTGTATGGGGAGGTTTTGTATATTAAACTTTACATCGTTTTCTTCAAGGTTATATATAATGTAAGGAAAGATGATTGCAGTTGCGTATACTCTGCGTACATATTGAAACCAGTTCTCTCTTGGCGGAATTTGTAAACAAGAATAGATGCATTAATTTTGGATAATTTTTATTATTCACATAATAGATTCCTATGACCAGAATATTTCATTGATTTTTTATTTGAAAGATGGATCCCATGTTAGGCTTCGACATCCGTCTTGTGTTTACATTGCTGCCCAGAGACAGTACACTGCAGTACAAAAGATGCGTACACCTCTGAAATAACTTTCCTTGCATTTTAACCTTGGTTTTCTCAGAACCTTTAATGAACAATAAAGAACTGCCAGCGTCGGTTTAAGGTGGGGGAGAGGGAAGCCCACCATCTAGAAAATTAAGGGGATGTCCCCTTCCCTGGAAAACTAAGGGAGTCCTGTCCTTTCCCCCTTGAAAATGAGTAGCGAAAGAAGAGAGCAACTTATAGCCATTTAAGAAATCATTTTCAGAAATCCCCCAAGTAGCGTACACCATCACACTACATACTACAACCTCGTTGGGCCTACCTAAATGTGAAAAGAGAAAAATAAATCTTTCCGGCTATATAAACAATTTAATTAACATTTTTTTAAGCTGTTTTATAAAAGGAGTTATTATTGAAAACATGAACGATTTTAATCTTTATGAAATTTTAAAATCTGTACAACACATGTTTATTTTTTGCTAAACTGTATTAAGAAATTGTAATAAATAAACAAAAAAACAACACAATTTATAAGATTTCACTTTTTTGTGTAAAATGTGAAGGGATTTTGATTTTATAATGTTTTGCCATTGAAAAAGTAAATTTGGACAGATTTTCTAAAACAGGTTTTCAAGGTTTCAGATTAGCGAGGTCTCCAAGTCTGCAGTGTTTGTGCAAAAAGTGAACAAGTTTCTAGGAACTAAAGCGTATATACTTGCTTCTAAATATACACCTAGCTACTCATATATATTTAATTACAACCGGAAAATGGGGAATTTAGGGAGGGGGGGGGGGATTATCATTTTTTATTGAACAATCAACAAGTTATCAGTTCATAAGTATTTGGTCTTTGAATCTGATTGATTATGTAAAGCATCTAATTGTTTTATTCCAAAATCCTAAAAAAGTGTTTAAAACATGTGAGAAGTACAATTTATATATAGTGAACGTGGATATGAACTTGGAAAATCATTTTCTGTAGAACTTGGTATCAAATTAACTATTTTCCCATGGATAAAACAGGGAGAACTCCATAATACGATTCAAGTTGAATGTTGCAACCTTCTGATTTTGTTTGGACGTTGCGTTCTTCGGTTTAAGTCGTTTTTATCAATTTTCTCCTTATAGACGCAACAGATAGAAGTAAGATTAGTAGCAATCAAAAGCGCTTATTTTTCTCTGTAAGCCTATACCCCCTTTCATTTTTTGCGAACACTCCCTTTAATTTATTTTCCTATTTCACACGTGAGACAGGATGCCTGCTAGGCATTCAATACGTACATGAGATACTTAAAAACGTCCTGCAGTAAATTACTCAAATATATCAGTGAGAATCATTAAAATGTAGAATAAGAAGACGACATGTAAGCAACTTATGTGCTATTGATGATGTTCTTGAGAAAATAGATTTGCCAACAGCTTTAAAAACAGTTTTTTAAATAAAATCGTGTACATTGTAAAATTTCTGTGTACGTGTCATATTCACTATTTACAATCACAACTTGTAATTTTTGACTGATAATTTCCAAGAATGTTTCCTGAACATTTTTCAAAATATGTAATTTACAAATTACAACAGCCATGATCCTTAGCCTTAGCGGCTTTTCATAATTAAAAGAAAAGTAAGACGGCAAAACATTCAAGCCTTTCTGGTTCTCATTGCATTCGTCTTCTTATTCCACAGGTTTTTGGATCTTGCAGTGTATAGTATTTTCTGTCAGCTAGAAGATTTCTGAACCCCAATGTAAATAAAAAGATTAAATGTAAATAAAAAGATTAAATGTAAATAAAAAGATTAAATGACTTTTAAAACTTTCAGTACATTACGAAAGCGAATATCTAAGTTAGATAAATGCAGGAAATGTTAAAGTATAAAAAGAAGTACACAGGGTGGCATATACT